AAAAAAAAAAAAAAAAAACAGTAAACCCATCAACCCATGGTCCCCTCAAAAACAGGTGAACAACGCCCCCCCCAAATCATCGTTATTAATTCAGACGCTAAGAAGCAGCGCTTCCTCCCTGGCAGCAACCGCCGATTCAAGGGCCCCATGTGATTCTCACCGCGCAGCCGTGACGTCGGCATGCGTGACATCAGGGACCAGGAGCTGACGTCAGGAGGAAGCGCCGGGCCTTACAGCCCCCGGACTCCCCCAGGGCGGGGCAGGCTTCGATGCCACCACCAGGGACCCCAGCCCGGCAGCAGGTGGGGGGATAAGCCGGGGCCAGGCCGCGCAGCCCCCTCCCCGAGGCCCTCCGGGCCCCGGCCTGGCTCCCTCCCTCGCCCGATCGCTCGCACTCACCCCAGCAGCGCTGATCTCTGTTCGCCGGGCTGGCCCCGGCAGCCGTTTAAGATGGCTGAGGGGGAGGGGCGGCCGCCCGCGTCCAATCCCCCGCGCGGCTGACGCGGGAGGAAGCGGGTGGGCGGTGCCGTGAGGGGCTGAGGCGGGAGCGCGCGGCTATGCAACCTCAAACAGCCCCCGCCAACACCTTTCGGCGGGCATGCAAGCCCGGAGGCTTGGGGATGCCCCCAAGTTTCGCCTGTCCGGAGGCCAGGTGGGGAGGGAGCCTCCCATTTCCATAAAGTGGGCTTTAAGCCCCGACACCTGGGCAGGCCCTGAACCTGCCAGAAGAGCAGTGACCCCTGGGAACGCTTAAGGACAACTGCCTTAAGGGACCCAGACACATAGTATTTCCCCTGCCAGGTAAGCCCTGCGGGACTGGCACCCTGCCTTGCCAGTCGCAAGCTGGCCCGCTCTGCTCTCCTGATGGGAGACGCCTGCCAGGAGGCCTGCTCCGTCCCCTGACCCAGTGACCTAAAATTGAAACTCAAAGGGCCCTCCGTTTTTTGCCCAGAATGAGTAACGCATCTTGTCAGCAGCCTCCGTGACAACAGCTTTCGTTACTTGCTTCTGGGAGCACTGACCTCTCTCTCTGATTCATCCCCAAATTTGCCAGATGTTCCTGCAGTTCATCTGAACTGCTAACTGTGCCCCAGACAAATCAGTCATAACACTAGCTCACTGGGAAAGCATGTAGCTAGTAGCCCTTCCTCTTCTTACCAAATACATGGAGAAAAAGAGAAACCATTTTCCCCTTGTTCCCTTATTCCTGTTGAGGGGAGGAAGAGAACAGATCCACAGGGTCTAACACAGGACATGAATCAAATAGATCTGCACTTCAATGGATCCGCTTAAGACTAGGACAAAGGAGCCAAAGCTATAAGCATATGACATTGCTTTTTCTAAGGTTAAAATTCCTTATAGGAAAGGTCAAAGTTATTACAGCAGTTGTGAAATGTTCAAAAGTGACATCTTTTGGTTCCTCTTATTTGGGGTGTAACTAAACAACCTCTCCTGAATGGACTCAGAGCTGAGGTATTGTGAGGTCAATGTGGTTTTTACTTCACTGACAGGATGTGAAATCCAGGACTATATTGCTGTCAGCATTTGCTGCTTTGTTTATCGTCAAGTAGTAAGAGTCATCGGTATTGAAAGTGGCTGCCTTGCACAAGACACCCCAGGGCACATTTTTGCTAGGTTCAAAGTAACTTGACCTGCCTAGTATATATTTAGGAATGGTTAGGCATGAACTTAAACTTGATACAGTATTTTTATTAAATAAATGTATCATTTCCAATGTTTATGGAAAAAAAATTGAAGTAGTAAGACAGTGCAGTAGTCTGGAATCTGTTCTGACTTATTGTAATATGTCTGCAGCCTTAGGCTTCAAATTAACTGAGTTTGTGTTTATAGGTGAACAGATGACATCAACAGGCAAGGAGGCACATGTTTAAACACCTACATTTTATTTTAAAAATAATACTTTTAAACATGTTCTGGCAGTTTAAGTTTTTAAAAGAGAAATCATCATCTTGAAATTTGCCTCAATAAGATAAATAATTACAGATAATAATATACCTGGCCCTCAAGTTTCCTGCTCACTTTTTCTGGTCTTAATCATATTTTTCATAAACACCTATGGAAGGAGGGGAATCCAACAAGGGAGAGCAGCAGGGTGTTTGTACAGGAAAGCTTTAGAAGGGTGAAAGGCTAGGTCACCCCTGCATAGGTTCAAATGTGATTTCAGGAAAGGCTAAGAGGAATTCTATTAGCATCCTAAATCATCCCCACCTAGTATATGCAAAAGTTTCCAACTTAAAATCAGGAAATCATGTTTTTTCTTTTTATTCTGAGGTTTTGTAGGTAACATTACATACTTCTGTAAGAAATCCTTTATATTAGCTAATCATTCTGACCTATATCCTCAAAGGTATGTGTCCAGTTCCCCTAACGCTGAAAACGTATGTCTCCTTTGTGCCGCCACAAAAGTTTTACGGTGCTACAAAGCAAAAGCAAGCAGATCTCCACGCCCTTTCTCATGCCAAACGACCCATATCTGTGGCCACAAGAAAAGGTAGTATTAATTTGTGCCGTTAGTTTGCAGTGCACATCTGTTTGCTTTATGGCAGGAGGGTGTAGGCAGCCTGGAGCTGGATTGGGCTTCTGAAGCCAAGTGCTTGCAGAAGTGACCCTGGGTCCCCCAGCAGGAGATTCCCCAGATTTGTGTATCGCGCTGCCATAGGGTGTGCCTCCATTTGAAGCTGAAGCCCTGGAAATAGTAGGGGCCTGACTCTGCAGGACAACGGTCAGCTTCTGTGTTGCCCAGTGAAGCAGATCAGCTATGCCAGGACACATTTCAGGGTGGAGTCCCAGTTTACTTTTCACTGTATTTCTTCAATGACAGAAGAATTTTTTAAACACTCCTTTAGAAAAACTTGGAAGTTTATGTTTATTCTCAGTTTAGTAACAACTCCCTGCTACATGCTTCCATTATGGAAAAGTCTAAATATAAGCAACTAAATTCTGTCTCCTGTTACAGCGGTTTCTGGGAAATACCACCCATGTAAACACATCCCCCTCCCTCCCCAGCTAGTGCAGTCATTCTGGACCAATTCCTTTGTTGGACCCTGACTCAGAGGAGTGCCAGAGGAAGGAAGAAGAGAGGAACGCTGAAGCATAAATGGAACAGCCCTGAAGCTTTTTATAATTTACGGATATGTTCAGACAGGCTCCAAATTACCAGAAGGTGCCAACTTCATATCCACTTAATTCCTATGTTCAGGAAAGGAATTGAGCAGTGTTACCACTTTTGATCTGAGCAGTTATTAATCAACTTTTGGAGTCTGGTGCGTGGTTTCCATTAGCAGCACCAGACGACTACTAAAGCTGTGCAAGGCTTCGGACCCTGCTTCGGATCCAGAGAAGCTTTGAACGTTTTAGCGTCCAAAGCAGCATGTCCAGATCAAAGTGCTGGTTTTGTTAGACTTTCTGAAGTGGTACAGAGCTTCTGAAGTGCTTCGGAAAAGCTTCGGAGCTGCTTCGGCAATCTGGCCATAGGGTATAATGGAGAATCAATGAAATAGCTATAACTTTGTTTTCTGTCTGCTTTGGATGAAATTTGCAGGGGTGGTAACCTCTGCTGACAGCATGAAGCCTGCCAAGTTTCAAGAAGATTGGTGTAGGGGCTCAGGGGGAACTGCACCCCAAATTCTGGAAAGCAAAACTCAAGTCACGTGTATGTGTTACAACACAGGGGGGTGAAAACTGCAGGAGTAATGGCCACTGCTGAGGACACAAAGCCTGTCAAGTTTCAAGAACATCAGTGTAGGGGTTTGGGGGGAACTGCACCTCAAGCTGCTGACAGGCAAAACTTGTGACACAGATGACCCTGTGTGTATTAAGACACAGCAGACTGAAAACTGCAGGGTTGGTGGCCCCTGCTCAGGCCACAAAGCCTGCCAAGTTTCAAGGAGATAAGTTCAGGGGTTTGAGGGAAACTGCACCTCAAGCTGAGGACAAGCCAAATTTGTGACATGGGTGACCCTGTGCGTGTTAAGACGCAGCAGGGTTAAAGCTGCAGGGATGGTGGCCCCTGCTGTGGCCATGAAGCCTGCCAGCTGTTGAGGCGATAGGTGCAGGGGATTCTGGGGCCCTGCACCTCTAGCTGCTGGCAGGCAAAACTCGTGACATGAGTGTTTGTGCAACTCTGTCTGTCTTTGTGTCCTCAGCAAGGGCCACCACCCCTGCAGTTTTCACCCCCCTGTGTTGTAAGACATAGCCATGGCATGAGTTTTGCTCTCAAGAATTTGGGGTGCGGTTCCCCTTAAGCCTCTGCATCGATCTTCTTGAAACGTGGCAGACTTTGTGACCTCATCAGGGGCCACTACCCCTGCAGTTTTCACCCCCCTGTGGTGTAACACATACACGTGACATGAGTTTTGCTTTCAAGAATCAGACAAAAAACAACAAAGTTATAGGTATTTCATTGATTCCCCATTATACCGTATAGCTGGATCTCTGAGGCAGCTCCAAAGCTTCGGAGCCGCTTCAGCCAAATCGAAGCAGAAACCCTGGCTTCTGAAGTGGCCGGATCCAAAGCCGGATCGAATAGCTGCCTACTCGCACAGGCCTAATGACTACTGTTTCTGTGATACAATCCTGTTTGTTTATGTTACCCTTCTGCTGGGGCCTGGTGGTAGAACAAAGGCCGGGTCCAAATTTGTGGAGTTTTGGCTCAAGCCCCCACTCAGAAACCTGGGAAAATATCACCTTTATTGTAGGTCCTAAAGAACAGCTTCCCCAGTCGCAAGCTATTTAGATACCAACAGTATATACATGTTTACTACATGGAAAAAAGAAAATAACAAAGCCTTATCAAATATAACTCCAAATACCTAAGCTATTAAATACCCCCAAATACCAAATACCCCAAACAACAGAAGAAACTCCCAAATAACAAACAACCCCAAACACCAAGCCCTCTAGGTCTTTTTGTGTCGGTTTCTTTTTGAGAACTTCTCCCATCTGGGAAGTTGCTATTTTCTCCAATAAAGTGATGCAAGGAAAAAGAATCTCTCTCTGGCTTGCTGGAGAAGATCTGGACCCACTGACTTCTGCTTGCTATGGTGCTCCTGGGACTGGTGCTGAAGTTTACTGGGTGAGACCAGGTGGGCCACTTTCTGGTTTGCCACCTCTCACTGCTAGCAGCCACCACCAAAGGCCAAGATTATTTATTTTTTAAGGAAAATTTTTCATGTCCGAGGTCAAATTAGCCAAATCAGTTCCAAATCCTTTGAATCATTCAAGAACTACATGTGGCCCTACAACCAGCAAATATCTTCCACCCCAAATGTTTCAGCCTAGGGTTTCAGATACTTCCCAATCTTTTGGCAGGCATCCTACGTGTAGACCTGGGGTTCAGATGCCCCTGAGTTTTGCTTGCCCTCAACCATAAGGCCGAATCTCCCATTTCCATAAAGTTGGCATGTAGCCAAGATCCTCCCACTGGAAGCTGGCCAGTGGGAAACTAACTATGAGGCTCTTGTAGGGAATCTTGTCCACAAGCACACAAGGGTGCCCCTGCCACTACATAGTGCCATTTCAATTGCATTACCTTGGTGATGGTATTTCCCTGGAACCTACCACATGAATAGAAGTTTGCACAACATCTGCATAAGACATTTAATGGTGCCTATTGTGTTTAGTCCCCCTCAGCACCGATTATTTTTCAAGTCCTGGTGAGCCACTCCACTGAATACATTTCAACTTCCTCCTCACTCCTTCAGCTGAACTGTGCCTTTCTTCTCCATTTCCAAAGATTCCTGTTTCTTCATCAGCCTTAAATGTTTGGCAAGCATCACCAA